TTTGATAGCATTTAAAATAAATAGTGGCCAATTATTTTCAATATACATAGTAAACTCCAAGAAAACACAAACACGACAGCAGGCTGCAACAGAACAAATTCAAGTTAGGTCAATAGTTTTGTCCCCCTGACCCCCAAAAGAATTTGGCAATGGCTGGAGATTATTTTGGTTATCACTAGATAGGGGATCCTACTGACAGTAAGGAGGTGGAAGCCAGAGATGATCCTAATAACCTACAATACATGGGACAGGTTCCCTACAACATAGATTTTTCTAGCCCAAAATGTCAATGGTGCTGCAACTGAAAAACACTGAATTAAAAAAATGAAAACCTCCTGGCTGTGAGAAGTATGAATAACATAAATAAACATCCTAAAGGCTATCAAATTTCCTTTTAGGGAGTTTTGAATGATTAAGAACCTCGTCTTTACATTCCAAAACAACATAATTTTCTGCAAAGATTAAGGTACAATCTTTGGGAAAGAAGCTGATATGCTAAGAGGAACTCTGTCTTATTCAAACTCGTGCTCACATGGAGTGCAGTAAGGACTGCACTGGAGTGCAGTAGGGAGTGCGGTAGGGACTTCATAAGGGTCTGCAGAATGAACAAATCTCTCTGTGGATCTTCTTAATAAAATAATCTGTGGGTAGTTTAGCTATCTGTCTTATTTGCTTTTCTTTGTTGCTGAGACAAAGTTAAAGTGGTCTCTTAGCTACTTTTTTCATTACTGAGATAAAATATGCAACACCCACAGTTAAAGGAGGAAAGGTTTATTTAGCTCACAATTTGTAAAGGTTTTAGTCCATAATCAGCTGGCTCCGAGGCAGGATGGCATGGCAGACAGGTATCCCAGAGGAGAAACAGTTTATGGCAGATAGAAGATAGCAAAGCAAGCAAGGGAGGATCAGGGTTCTTTTCATCCCTTATATTTTATTCAGGCTACTTAGTTGGGTAACAGTCACACCCTTAATCCTAGTGCCCTTGATCCTAGCACTGCATCATGAATTACTACCAGCATCTCGCACTCTAGATCCAGCCACCTCTGAAAAAAACCCATTGTGACTTCATGAGGCTTTGGGGGACATCTAGACATAAACCATGACATTCCCTTCCTGGTCACCCCAACACTCGTGCACATTCCCCTATGCAAAAGGCATTTAGTCCATCTCCAAGAGTTGCCAAATTCCTAACAGTTTCAGTTTTCTGAAAACTCCAAGTCCCAACTGTCCTCTGAGATTTAAGGCAAACTCTTAGCTACAAGCCCCTGTACAAATAAAAAGAATGGTAAACAACTCCAATATTCAATGGCACAAAATAGACATTTGCCTTTTTAGATTAGAGAGGTAATTATATTTCATCAAACTGAAATTACAAGCAAATTCAGATAGGAAAGTAACTGCCAGGTTTGAAATTTAGCCAGAGTCATGGCAAGAGCCTACAGAAGGAAGCAATGGTCTCTAATAAAGAACCTTCCCTATGAGGCTTTCCAAGAACCAGTCTGGAGTATGGCCAACCCCGTTTGGAAGGAGAAGTATCACCCTCACAGGCCCCCAGAGCAAACTTCAAGTTCCCAAGTGACTCAGTCTTCTGCAACCTTTTCTTTTGCTTAAAGAATCAAAGGTAGGCTTGGGTGGCAGACGCTACCACATATCTCAAACCACTTGTTGGAGGCCATAAGAAAAGAAATGGATTGAAATCTCTATAAGGGTCATGTGTTCACACTGAAATATTGTAGAAAGTAATAAAGGGGATAGAAAACCATATCAGTAGCTCAACAAAATAATCAGACTATGTGAGACTCACCTTAATGAACACATTTGTATTCGATGCATAAAATTGTGCCTTTAAAGTGAGATGTGACTGGAGTTTAACAAGCCGAATTAGTAAGATTTAAATTCATGGGAATGATTTTATGAATACAGTTTGCATAAAACCTCAGCATTAACCTTTAGTATGTTGAGGACACAATGGAGGCCAATTTGATTCTTACTGGATAATTAAAAAGCATTTTACAGTATTCTAGATATTTAAGAGTTGTGGTTCCAAATTTTTAAATCAGCAATTAGTCAGCTACTGGATAATCAGTGCAAGAATTGTATTCATGGTGTGTTTTCCCAACCCAGACTGATTAAGTGGCTAATTATAGTTCTAACTATTGTGGCTATGGGCTCCAAGCATAAAGATATTCATAATAGTTAGACATGGATATATTTGGTAGTGTTTTGCCATTGCTGTGATACAGGGAGAATATGAGGTTATAATGTTTCTCATTAATGCTGAAAGGAATGAAACGTATGCTTGCATAAATCTGTACTCAGTAAAAACAAATGTCACATCAGATGTGCAAAGTCAGGTTTTCTTCACGAAAGTCAAATGACTGCAGTGGACTGCCTTTCCTAAAAAAAAATCCTTGGTATAAGATGTAAGGCTGACCTTTTGAAAGGCTACGGATTGTTTCACATAAGCAGTTGCTCTGAATTATAGGAAGGTCTTCGTTCTATCCATTCCGTGGGCACAGTACTACCAAATTAAAACCAAGGGCAGTCACAATAAGTTCAGAATAAATTCACTCAAAAATGAGCTCCACATATGAAAGAGATTTCCCCCACTTGGAATTGAGCCTTAATGAAGTTGGGTCCAGTAAGTCCAAGTTCCACTAGTTCGGGCTCATACAGAAGGACTATTTTGTGACCTAGTGTTTGTTATTCTGTAATTAGTATGAAAGATTCAATTTACACCCACTGGGCTATAAAGGGTAGAGGAAAGATGATTCGATCAATGATAGAGGTTACAGGAAAGATAGTGATTTTATTGGAAGTAAAAAGAGAATGTGATCAGAATGGAGTTTCTCTCCCCTGTTTATCAGCAACAGTTAAATGAAGAACTGTTTCTCTTAACTACATGATGAAAATTAATGTCACTAAAAACAGACAGACTTGTGTGGCTCCTGATACAATGTGTGGAGAAGGATGCAACACTACTTCTTCAGTTTTCCTCCCAAAAGCGCACAGGCTGAGTCTAATCGTGAAGAATTATCAGGCAAATCCAACCTGAAAGATATCTTACAAAATGGCTGGTTTGGGTTTTTATAAATATCAAGGCCAAAATTAGCAAGGAAGGCTGAGAAATCACTTCAGATTAAAGGAGACTGAGGAGACATGACAACAGATGTACGTGTAATACAGGCTTAGATCTTGGATTGGGAAAAACCAAAGGACATCACTAGGCAATTGATGAGAAGAGAATATGAAAAGTGGATAATAGTGGTATTGTATGTATGCTAAATTTCCTGATTTTGATAATCACAGTGTGGTTAAATAAAAGGATATCCTTTTTCTGGTGAAATGTACACTGAATTATTTAGAAAAGAGGCAGAGTGTTTCCAATCTTTGATTTAGGGGGGGAAATCATGGCTAGAACCAGACATAAAACCAGAAATATAAATGTGTGTATGGAGATGGACAGACTATAGAAAATGTAAACAACTAGTGAATCTAAGTAAAAGATATAGAGCAGTTCTGTGATTACTATAGCAAAATTAAAAATTAATTTATCATGTTAAAAGGGCTGCCGTTTATTGATCACAATCAGCATTTTCTACACACAGCATTATGTAAAGGTAAATTTATTTCTATCAAATTTGACAAAATAGATTGCTGGGTCAGATAAACTCCTTCACTTTGAAAAACAAATCAAGTTTCAGTGAATAAGGAATACTATAGAAAACAGTGACTCAGGAAGCATAATGGCCAAATGAAGTAGCTCTAGATTTTATTTCCAGTTTTTAATTCTGGCAAATGACTTCTATGCATACTGTTGTGTGTTTTCGCTGACCATTGTAACTACCAATGATTTGACCCAGAAAATGGGGCTGTTCGAGGTGTTCCCTCCGTGATAGCAGAAGCAAATGATTAATTTGTCTAGAAACAAAAGGCTGTGATGAAGTGTTTCCCTCTTTTCTTGGCTTCAATATTTCAAAGGATGTTGCATTTAGAAGGTTATCTATCATTTGGTTTGAAACCCCATATCATTTTCAATATCCTCGCTTTGTTTTGTTTGTATTTTGCTATTGTTCTTTTTATTTACTATTCTTTTTAAAATAAAAAAAAAAGGTGATCTGGGAGAAATAAGACAACATTAATGCCCTGGGCCAGATAAAAAAGAAAAAGCTGCAACTGTGTCCTTTTTAGAATTTAAGGTTGGGGTGCATCTTGACAAATGAATGACTTCAGTATCTTTTTCTACAAAGGCCCTACAGGAAGTAGGTTCTACCTAGACCAGTATATCCTAAAGTCTCCTGGGAAGGTGTAGGAAAGAATAATGGTAGTCACAAGGTACCGGATGAGTGTTTCATTGTGCCAAGTCTTAACCAAAACCTTTTGATAGGGCAAAGTCGCTTTCTAATTTGCCTGTCCATAGTGGAGTTCAAAAAAATCATTTTTCAGATTTCAAATAAATCTTTACATACCTGTTGAAATAAACTGAATCCTCCATCCCAGCCCAGCACACACACATGCACACACACACACACACGCACACACATGCACATGCATACACACATGCACATGCACACGCATGCATCTTTACCATGGAAGAAATCTGGTAATAGGAAGAAATGTTGAATATGGTGCCAGGTGACCCAAGCACAGCAATTTTTTAGTTAACATGGAAAACCTTAATGGTTAGTAGGGTAAGGAGAATGTCTAGTGTTATTAATTCAAAATAAATAGGGTTAAAGCCACATTAATAAGAGAACTCACCCTTACATAAACTAGGTGAGGCAAGCTTTGTGAGAAACTGCTGCTTTTCCCAAAGTTTGTCTTTAAAGAACTTCTGAAGGCAAACCAGAGGCAGAGTCTTCTGTGGGTGAAATGTCTTCACAGCTGTCGCTTCCATGGGATAGGAGAGTGTTCATGAAGAAAGGGTCAGAGGAATCCTCTGTTGGAATCAAGCTGAAACCGGAGGTTGCAGAAGATTCCAAATGTGAAGGGACTGGACTTAGGACTCAAAATGTTGATAGGGAAAGTGCAAAAGATAGAAAGGGAGTGGGGGGAGCAGATGATGGATGATACCCAAACAAAGGAGAAGCTAAGACAAGAAGACAGGAAAAATAAGACAGGAAGCCAGCTTTCATGGTGATACTTTCTCAAAGACCCAATCCCGGGAGACTTGATCTTTTTCTGAGATAGATAGAGGAATGATGACTTTAAAAATGAAAAAGAAGCCATAATCCTTCTTTTGCTTCTCTATTGCTTGGGGGTCATACATGAATCTTTCAGGCAGAGAATGACCTAAGTGTTCTCCATCGGAGCCCAAGAAAGGCAGAGAAGTTAGCATAAGGAGAGGTAGCCAAGTTGGGTCTGGTGGGCACCGCTCTGACCTTTCTCACAATGGAGAACTGGGTGGGGAAGAGCCACCATCAGCCAAGGGTCCTCCACTCTGAAGGAGTAAGGCAAGTCCCTAACTGCCCTGACCCTACATCTCACTTTCTTCAGATGCTCTTTGAGATATCAGGCTGAAGCCAGAAAGGTCAGGTACTTACATGAGTATATGCATTTTTTATTATTATTATTATTATTATCATTGATTTTTGACACATGGTCTTGCTATATAATTCAGGCTGTCCTTAAACTCACTATGTAGCCCTTGAACTCTCAGCAAGCCCTTGAACTCTCCAACTGCTTCAGCCTCCAAATTGCTGAGACTACAGGCGTGTGGTACATGCATTTAAACACTACTAGTAGTTTAGAACTTTCATGAAGCACATAATATATACAAGGTCTAGGATTTAAACTGCCACAAAGTGTGCTTTGCTTTTAAACCATGGAAGTTTTAACAGTTTTTTTAATATCATTTGTACTGTCTCCTGCTTTTTCATTGAATCCAATCAATCTTAAGTTGTTGTTATTTGCCTCATCTAGCAGCTCCTGGTTTGATTTCTCATGATCCCTTGATATTTTTAAGAAATCTTTCTTTTCATAATTGCTAACCATAAGCCTGTCTTCTGTATCTGAGATTCTGTCCCACATTGGCTTAATCTACTGTGGATACTTTCAGTGGAATTTTTATTCTCCTGGATATTTGCTTGAATCTGCCTTGTAGATTCTATTTCTTTCTTGTGCTAAGCATTCATGGCTTCCATAATTTTCTTAAGATCCTCTAATTTTTTGTCTGTATCTGCTCTAGAGTCACTAAGCATGGTTTTCATCATGGACACCATCCCTGCAGTTATCTAAGAAATCATTTCTGATTTGATTTATTCTAGAGCCTCATTCAATTGCTTTGTTGTTACCACTTCAGAGAGGTCACATGGGTAGCTTTGAGATTGTCCCACCTCAATATCACCTGGATTTGCCTTTGGTGAACTGGATGTCTGGGGTTGCATCTTTTCTAAATGTCTTCTCATTTTCTCTTCTTTTTTAAGTTTAATTCCTGGGTGTTGCTTGTAAATTGTTTATGGTGGGTTTCTTTATTACTAATATTTAGAACCCTTAGGAAGTGACTATTTCTCTGAGGTATCTTCCAGGTGTAGCTGGTTTGTGGATTTTGAGTCTATTGCAAGATCTTACCTCTTAAATTTTTGGAGATGAGAAGTTGCTGCCTGCTTGGTCCAGCCCTTGGACCTTTGGCACTTTGCCACAGTATTTATTTGACCCTTATTTTTAGTCTGTCTTGGAATGCCAAGAAGAACAGCTGTTTAGAACAATTATGTCACTTTGGCTAGAGTGGTGCCATCCACAATGATTAGCTTTTGGTGGCCAGCAGAGTGGAATCTAGGTGGTTCAAGCTCCTACCTCTCAATCGAATTCCTCCTAGTCTTCTCCTACCTGCCAGCAGTCTACTGTGACTGGATGGCTCTTCCCTCCTTCTACACTGGGATGTTGGCAGTGAAGGAACTCAGGACTATTCTGCTGCTGGAGTTCCCTCAATTCTTTGAAATACAATGGTGACCCCACCAGCCTACTTATTTTCCATGTGTCTGTGTGCTGGAGCACAGTGCCAGTTCACTTCACTCACCAATCACTGGCTCATATTCTCACTGCTGCTTCAGACTTCTGTGCTCCTGGTCCCACTTGTGGCATGCATTTCACTGGGCTACTGGTCCCACCTGTGGTATGTGCTGTGCTCTAGATCGATTCTTGATGGTTTTCACTGTTGCCTAGAAACACAAACAAAGCTGTGCCTGAAATATATTGTAGGTGCTCATCAAAGTCTCATTGAATTGATTTGAACTTTTGTTTAATTTTGGACATCTGCTTATCCACTACATTTGAGTATTAGTACAGTCTGTCTGTCATTAAATGCAGGTATCTTTATGATGTGGCTTTCCAGCTTCAAATAATTTGATTGTCCTTATAAGAATCAGCATATCAGTATCCAGGACCAAGAAGTACACCCAGATGATTATTTTAGATTTATACCCTTCTTTAGAACTCTATATTATTAGTCAGCTCAAGATCCAAAGAACCTTTGGAAATACAGGGTCTAATGGCTGGATCACAACATAGACTACTCACAAATATAGGCTTTTGAATTTCATACTTTTAAGTTTCATATTGCTCTATGAACTGAAGGATCTCCAGGCAAGCAGAGTCTGCTTCCCTCGTAACCCATGGTTCTGGTCTTTGAACAATGCCACCCTCTTTTCTATACTGTAGCTTACAGTGTATAAGAGAAAAATTCAGTGCTTCTATTGTATGGAAAAGGGCACTATGAATGACCAATCTAGATAGAAGCAAGGTAACAGAGCTATTAGACTAGATCTTGGAATCAGTGCAGAGGTTGAATCTCAGCTCCATCCCTTATCAGAAGTGCAGCTTTGGACAAATTACTGTATCTCTCTAAGCTTTAGCAATATCCTATAGAAAATAGGGTATAATAAATAACATAGGTTTTCAAAATGATTCAGTAAGTTAATGCATATAAAACACGCAGCCCAGAATAGATACTTGGTAGCTTCTAGATAAATCTAAGCTCAGGAGGGCTGAGGTTTTGGCACCTCAGTTAGCTTAAGAGCTTTTACTTTAATTTCCTATATACAAGTCCTTTTAAAATTAATAACTGATTGTACTTCTATCTCACCTCATTTTTTCTACTTACCACTTCCTCAAAAAGTTCAGGGGCTTAGCTTTTTCAAATATGTAGTCTGGGGCATGTTTTCCATTCTAGCAGCAGCTCATGATTCTGAAGATCTATCTAATGACATTTGAGAACATTGGCCATTATCTCTTCAAATACTTTCCTTGTTTTATTCTCATTCTCTATTTCTTCTGGTACTCCAACTACATATATATTATACAATTTCTTATTTCCCAATGGATCTTGAAAACCATTTTATTTTTTATTAGTTTTTTCCTATATATTCTTAGACAATTTTTAGTATATCTATCTTAATGGTGATGCTTTTTCTGTCTCCAATTTGTTGTTATGTCCTTCCAGTAATTTTTTCATCTGCTGTTGTCTTTATGCTTTGTTATAGAAGACATATGGAAAGTCAAAGGTATTCTCTAAGCACATCTAATTTGAGATGTCTCAGCTTCTAATCTCTGGATCCCCTGTGGATCTTGCCAGTATGGTTACAACCATGGTTAGGATAGTTCCAGTGGTAGCCTCACTCTGGGTCATTGTCTCTACTCTATAGGTTCAGCCGTGCTACTGTTTCAACTGGTTCCTAGTCTTAAAAGAGAGCATCAGTAGAAGTATCCCCAGTAGTGTAGACAAGCAACAGTCTATGATAGGAAGGATCAAAAAACCCTGAGCTTGAAAAAGGACCGAGAACCACATTACAGTAAGAGGAATAATGTCATTGTGGTCTTGTGACCTAAGCCTGTCACTCACAGATAAATGCCAAAAGGTGATAGTTTTCAGCTCAAAATAAAATGACTATACTAGTTGTTAGGTATCGAGTTAAATAACCCTTAGTTATTGCAGGCTGATCAGGCCCACAATCTCCCAAGCAAGTGGACAACGAAGGCTCAAATAAATGAGACAATGGAAATGATTTCAGGGCTCCAGGAGGGACTAACTCTCTTACAGCTTCAATATCCTCTGAGTTTAGACAAAGACTTCTCTGGCCAGCCCATATTTATTTGGTTTTCAAAGGAGGAAGATACTCAAGAAAACATGGGAATCTCACAGGACCTTGGGAAAATTTTCCCAAGTAGTAAATTATGTCAGTCAGGAGAACTACCTTATCTTTAGGTTGGTATTTATTGTAGGAGTGTGGAGCCTGCAGCTGCAGTCTCCTTGTAGTTAATTAGGGTTGGAGCCCAAACATCCTCAGCTATGGACTTATCTTGTCCTTTGAGGAGTCACAGCTTCACAGGTCAATACAGGCCTCAGGGTGACCAGGGACTCACAGAGGCTTATTTACTATAAGTAGCCAGCCCATCTGCAGACAAGGTGCCTAAGCTTCAGACAACTCACAAGTAAATGCAGAAAGCCAATTGGTTAATATTAAACCCAGCTCAGAGCCACTTTGTAGTGGTCTCCAACAGTTAGGTTAGTTCAAAGGTGAAATGTCTAGGAATAACAAGAGTTTGCTGTCAGTAATGATATCTTAATAAAAGTTAAATAATCCTTGGGAAGACCATTGAAATGATGACTCACATTTGAGATTGCTGTGTTGAACATAAGGACTTTCATGTCTCCTCCCAGAATTGTGACCTTTGGTACACTGGGCTTAAGTTCTTTTGGCAAAGACACAGACATTAATTCATTGCAACACAGTGAAGGAATCTTCCTTTATGTGTGTAATGGGAAGAGCAGAGTTTGTAGAGACAGATTTGGGTTTGAATCCTGTACCTCTCTAAACTTTAGCAATATCATATAGAAAATAGGATAATCTGTTATATTCTCATGGACTTTTAAAAAAATTGTATTTTTTGAGTACACATTTGGGGATACATAATGATCAGATTCATCATAGGGAATTTGTACCTATACCATATGTCTTGATTCTTCTTTATTTCATTCCCCTCCCCTCCTTTTAAGACTCCTTCACCTCTGCATTTATAGAAGTTTGTTTTCATTTTTTCCTTCCATTTGTTTATTATTATTATTATTGTTGTTGTTATTTTGGTACTGGGAATCAAACGCAGGACCTTGCACTTGCCAGGCAGGAACTTGTGCTACTGAGCTATATCCCCAGCCCTTCCATTCCTTTTTTAAAAATTCCTTTCCCTTCCTTCCCTCTCCCCATTTGTCCTCCTTCCCATTTGAACATGTTTTCCTACTTCCCAATATCTATCCTCCATTTTGCTCCTTTTGTACCCTTTGGGTTTCTTACCTAAGTAAAATAATGTGATATTTAAACTTGTATGTCTAATTTATTTCACTTAACATATGATCTTGAGGTGTATCCATTTATGTAAAAATGACTCAAACTTATCCTTCTTTATGGTAGAGTAGTATTCTGTTGTATATAAATACCACATTTTCTTTATCCATTCATCTGTTGAGGGACATTTGGGCTGTTTTCAAGATTTAGCTATTATAAATTGTGCTCCTATAATACTGGTCTGCATATATCACTATGGTGTGATGCTTTTAACTCTTTTAAGAAGACACCTAGAAGGGACACAGCTGGGTCAAATGAAACCTCTAGTTTTACTTTTTTGAGGACTCTTCATAGTGTTTACCATACTAATTGTACCAATTTATACTCACACCAACCGTGGAGAAGGGTTTCTTTATTCACCTGTCCCACCAGCATTTGTTATTGGTTGATTTCTTGATCATAGCCATTATTTTTGGAGTGAGATGGAAACTCAGTGTTGTCTTAATCTGCATTTCTCAAATCAACAGTTGTTAAAAATTTTCCATACATTTATTTGCTGTTGTACTTCTTCATCTGAGACTGTATATTCATTTCATTCTTTTGTATATTCATTTCAGATGCTCATTTTTGGACTGAGTCTTTAATTTTGCCGAGTGATTGTTTTAAATTCTTTATATATTCTAGATATTAGTGCTTTGTCTAACAAATAGTTGGTCAATTTTTTTCCCATTCTGTGCGATTTCTCTTCACTCTGTTGGTGGTTTCTTTCATTCTGAAAAGCTATTTAACATGATAGGATCCCAGTGTTAATTCTTTGTAGCATTTCTGTCTAACCAAGTTTTGTTCATAAAGTGTTTGCCTTCACCTAAGTCTTCAAATGTTCTATCTATTCTGTCTTCCAGCTGATTGTGTTTCTGCTTTAATATTTAGATCTTTGATCCATTTTTATTTTAATCTAGTGAATGGTGAAAGATAGGGGACTAGATTCAATCTTTGGAATGTGAAAAACCAGCATTCCAAGCATCGTTTATTAAAATAGCTGTTTCTTCCAGTGAAGGTGTTTGACCGCTTTGTCAAAGATAAGGTAGCTGAGTGTGCTTGGAATTGCTTCTGCACATTCCATTCTGTTCCACTGGTCCTTGGGTTTGTTTCTTTGCCAGTACCATGCTGTTTTTATCGTGGTAGATTTGTAGTATAAATTCAGATTGGGAATTATGAGCCTCCTTGCCTTGCCCTTGCTGCCCAGAATTGCTTTTGATATTCTAGGTCTCTTCTGGTTCTATATAAATTTTTTTAGGTTTGATTTCTCAAGTTCTGTGAGACATGCTATTGGTATTTTGATTGGGATTGCATTAAATTTGTATAACAGTTTGGAAGTATGGCCATTTTCACTATATTGGTTCTGCCTACCCAAGAATAGGGACTGTCTTTACTTTTTGTTATCCTATTTGATCTCCTTTTTCTTTCATTAGATTGACTCCTAATTTTTCACTTTTTTGGTGCTTCTGTGAAAGATGTAGTTTCTCTTAATTTTCCCTCAGCAGGTTTTTTATCTGTGTATAGAAATGCTACTGATTTTTGAGTGTTGACTTTGTATCCCGCTATGCTACTGAATTTGGTTCTTAATTCTAGGAGTCTTTTGGTGAAGTTTTTGTGGTCTGCTAAGTAGAATACCATTTCATGATAATTTAACTTCCTATCCATATTCCTTTTATTTCTCTCTCTTGTCTAATTACTCTGGCTAATGTTTTCAGAACTATATTGAACAGAGTGGTGATGGTGGGCATCCTTGTCTTATTCCTGGTTTTAGAGTGAAAAGTTTCCGTTTTTAACCATTTAGCATGATGTTGGCCTGTAGTTTGTGATAGATGGCTTTTATCAGATTGAGATAAAGACCTTCTATTCTAATTTTCTGTAGAGTTTTTATTATGAATGATTGTTGAATTTTTTCAGATGCCTTTTTTGTGTCTCTTGAGATGTTGATGTGATTTTTGTCCTTGGTACTGTTACTGTGATGCATTGCATTTATTGATTTGCATATGTTGAACCATCCCTACATCCTTGGGTCAAATTCTACTTGGTCAAGATGTATTATCTTTTTCATGATTTGCTGTACTCTGTTTGCCAATATCTTATTGAAGATTTTTGTATCTGTGTTCATTAGGAAGATTGGCCTGTAGTTTTCTTTTGTGATTGGGTCCTTCTTTGGTTTAGTATCAGAGTAAATGCTTGCTTCCATAATGACTTTAGGAGTATTGCTTTCCTTTCAATTTCATTAAAGAGTTTGAGTAATAGTGGCATTAGCTCTTCTTTAAAGGTCTTCTAGAATTCAGCAGTAAATCTGTCAGAACTTGGGTTTTTCTTTGTTGGCAGTTTTTTTCTTTTCAATTTTATTGACTGATATCAGGTTATTCAGAATTTTTAGACCTTATTGACTCAGCTTTAATAATTCCTATGTATGTTTTTTCTGAGTTTTCTATCTTATTAGAGTATAGATTCTCCAAGTACGTATTAATGATCTTCTGGATTTCTGCAGGATCCATTGTAATTTTACTCTTTTCAGTCCTAATTATAAGGATTGGGATCTTTTATTTCCTTTTTTTGATAAGATTGGCTAAGGGTTTGTCTATTTCATTTCATCTTTCAAAGAGCCAACTCTTCAATTTATTAATTCTTTATATTGTTTTCTTAGTCTCAATTGCATTTGTACTCTGATGTTCATAATTTCCTTCCCATATGAATTTTGGGTTTAACTTGTTCTTTTTTCTAGAAGATTGACATTCAACATTAGGTTATGTACTTGAGCTTATTCTATTTTTCTGTTGTGAGGATTTACTGCTATAAGTGTCCCTGCTTTCATTGTGTCCCACAAGTTCCAGTACATTGTATCAGCATTATTGTTTAATTGTGTAATTTAATTTCTTCTTTAATTGTATGTGACCCATTGGTTGTTCAGGGTGGTATTATTTAATTCCCATGTGTTTATGTAGTTATTGTGGTTTCTTTTACCATTGATTTTGAATTTCATTGCACTGTGATCTGTTAATATCCTTGGGATAATTTCAGTTCCTTTCCATTTACTTAGCCATGTTCTAGGAGCTAATATGTGGTCTATTTTGGAAAAAGTCCTGTGTGGTGCTGAGAAGACTGTGCATTGTGCTGTTGTTAGGTGGAACACTATGGCTATCTATTAAGCCCATTTGTTCAAAGGTTTGCTTCTGCTCTGATGTTTCTTTGATGATTTTTGTCTAGTTGATCTGTCTGTTAGTATCCATCTGATTTTTCATATTCATTAGTGCTTGTTTTATATAGTTGTGTGTTCCCATATTTTGTGCATATATATTTATGTTTGCTGTCTCTTTCTCTTGGCTTTTTCTCTTAACAAGCATGTAGTGACCTTCTTTATCTCTTCTGATCAGTCTTGGCTTGATATCCACTTTGTCTTCAAATAGAATAGTTACCCCTATTTTTTCCTGGTTCCAGCTGTATGAAATATTGTTTTCCATCCTCTTACTATGAATTTATTTTGAATTTCTATAAATTTCTATGAATTTTTTCTATGAATTCCTCTTCTAAGACTTTTTTTGAGTTAAATGTGTTTTTGTATATAGGATATTGTTGGATCTTGTTTCTTGATTTGTTCTGCCAATCTCTTTGTTTTGATTAGTGAATTGAGATCATTTACATTGATGGTTATAACTGATAGGTATTGAATTATCCTTGTAGTTATAGTATTTTTGAGTTGTTGGTTCCCTTTCTTTCCCATTTTTTAATTGCTTGCCTTGCCTGCTGGATTCATTCTATTGGGATTCTTGGAAAGTTTGTCTTTGTTGTCTTTTAATATCCTTCAGAACTTTTTGGAGTGCTGGTTTGGTGGTCATGAATTTCTTCAGGTGTTCTTTAACATGAAAGTAGCTTTTTTCTCCATCAATTTTGAAATGTAACTTTGTGGAGTTCATCAATCTGAGTAGCAGGTTGTTTTCTTTTAGGAGCTGAAATACTTCACTCCAAATTCTCCTTGACTCAGGGTTTGCACTGAAAAGTCTTCTCTGATTCTGATGGGTTTTCCTTTAGAGGTGATTTCTTTTAACAGCTTTTAATATTCTGTTCTTGTGTTGTATTTCTGGGGTTCTGACTGTTATGTGCCCAAGAGTGTTTTTTTCTGATCATGGCTATTTTGAGTTCTGTATGCCTCATTCATCCATATGTCAAATCCTTTTCCATATAATGCTTGGAAAGTTCCGCCATTTTTCTGTGAACAAGTCCTTTATATCCTTTGTGGTATCTTCTGATCTTTCATTGTTTCCAATTTATGCTATTTATTCTTTTTTGCATTGTCAAGCAGCTGCTGCATTGATTTTTTTTATTGTTCTTTGCTTTTTTTTAAGAAGTCTTTCATTTGATGATCAACTGAAACCCCGTATTCTACATATAATATTCTATCTTTGTATTGGCTGATTCTGCTGCATATACTTTCAATAGGAATTTTTTGTTTGTTTGTTTGTTTGTTTTTCTCCAGTACCAGGAACCGAACTCACGACCTTGCGCTTGCCAGGCAGGCGCTTTTGCCGCTGAGCTAAATCCCCAGCCCCCTTCAATAGAATTTTTACTGTCCTCAATATCTGCTTCAATCTATTTTACGGCTTCCAGTTCTTTCATTTATTAGGTAGTCATGGTTTCCCTGTCTTTCCTTAGCTCCTCTATTTTTTACCTGTATCTACTCTAGATTCATTAACTATTTCCTTCCTTAGGGTCATCATAGCTTTAATTATCTGTGTAGTTATTTCTGTCCCAGTTTTGTCAAGAGACTTATTCATCTGTTTTGTTACTTCTGCTGTTACCATTTCAGAAAGTTCAGCTGGCTGGCTTTTGGTTTCATCCACCTTAACACTCCCCGGATTTGCCTTGGGCAAGCAGGGGGTCTTGGATTGCATCTTTCTTTGGTGTTCTTTATTTATTTTGTTTTCTGCATGAGGCTTGTAAATTGCTTGTGGTAGGTAGCTTCATGACTAGGATCAAGATCTCTTAAGGAAGTGACTGTTTTCATAGATTTCTTTTAACTGTAGCTGGCTTTTGGCCTTTGAGTCTGTCCCAGGATTCTGCCTCTTTTGTTCATTAGTTCTTTGCCCTATCACCCAGTTCAATGGTACTAGGCTATAGTATAGTTTATGACCCTCAGACAATCTAGGTATTGGCATATAAGGAAGAGCAGTTGATCATAACAACTATGTCATTTTGATTAAAATATTACTATCAGTAATAATAACAGCACCAAATACAGACTGGAAGATGACAAACTGTGATAATAATTTGCCACCTTTAACCCTAGGTGTAAGATCTATACTTGTATAACAAGATCAAAGACAAATTTAAACAGTATACACAGTAAATACCACTCCATAGAGCAATTTTACCCTAAGGGGAGAAAATTTAAAAGGGAGAAAAGGAAAAAAATAGAGAAATGAAAGAAGAAAAACAGATTATACTCAAGTCTCAAGAAACTGGTGAAGAGGACAGAAGGGAAGGAAAACTGGAGAAAACAGAAACAAGGACAGAGAAAAACAAAAAAAAATTAAAAATGTTCAAACTCACAAAAGCAAAAAAAATGAACAAAATTTTTTAAAAGACCAAAAGCAAAGAGAAAGAAAAACAGAACTTTCCCTGTGATTTGATGCCTGTGGCTATCTTCTAGGGTCTACAGTTTTGTGACAGTGTCCAATTCAAGGCATAACTCTTCTAGATAAACCCAGCAAGCTAGTAATAGGAGTATGGTGCATTTCTGGTTCTGGGATTTTCAAATCCATAGAAACTCAGATTGAACCTGGCCTCCATTTGTGGGAGTGAGGTCTGGGTAACTTAGCTTGAAGCACTCTGGGTGTCTTTTGCTGGGCTGACCATGGCTCCCTGACCATGGACTCTCTTGTGGTTGTCCCTCACCCAGTCATTGTGGTTGTTTAACACTGGGAACCCTGAGATGAAGCCAACCTGTGGCTGCTCTGAGTTCCAGATTCAGTTGTCCCCTCCCTAAAATGGTGCCTGACCACGTACTCTCTCCAGGGGATATGGCAGGTGGTTGGCCTGGAGTTACCAGGTGTTATAGTGCACAGTGTCCACTGCTCCACTCCACTGGTGTGCCTCTCCCTGAAGTCCTCTGGGGTTGCCCATTTCACTGTGTCTCTATAGATTTGGTTGTTCTTTCTCTTGCCACAGGCCAGGAGCCAGGGAGAAAGTACAGATTGCCCTTCTGTTTTTCTCTATGGCAGTCTGCCTCTTCAGTTTATGTGTAGGCTCCAGTTTCCCTTTCAAATCTTTCCTGGGTTCCAGGGATCCATCTCCCTCCTTCTTCTGTTTCCCAAATTATCACTTTTCAGTTTCTGGATTCCAAATTTTGGAAAGGCTGATTTATTGCTGCTTACCTCTGCACCATCTTCCCAGAAGTCACTCTACCTGACTTTATGGAACAATTTAGGTAACTTTCCAAGCCTCAGTTTCTTCATTCTGAAAATATGTGTGAGATAATATCCATTACACAGGGTTGTAAATAGAAAGTATTTGACAGATTAATTGTACAGAATGCTCCGTGAATATAGTCTTCTGTCATTAATATTAATAGTAATGCTGTGATTATTGTTATTAGACACCTTAAATTTTTGATCCATTGATTTTAATAATTATATTTTAAAAATTTATGACTACATACAAAGGTTTAGTAAAAAATGTCCATTGACACTTACAATTTATGCTTATTTACAAAATATTTATAATGGGATAAGACTTTAATACTAGGTGATTTCTTTTTGGGGGGGGGGTTGGTTTTTCTCCGGTACCGGGAACCGAACTCACGACCTTGCGCTTGCCAGGCAGGCGCTTTGCCACTGAGCTAAATCCCCAGCCCCAATACTAGGTGATTTCTAAGGTCTTTCTCAGTAGGATGATTGGGAGATTTTATCTATACTCTCTCTAGGCTTTTTCTCCACTACATTTCTACTATGACTATGTATTATTAAAATAAAAAGATAAAATAAAGCATTTAAGTACAGAGTCCATTCCTTGCACCCAGGGATGGTTTGTCATGAGTTGGTCATGGCTGATAAAGCAGAGAAGATTCCACCATCAGATAGGAATACAGATGGATAATCTTAAATTATTTCTTTATATCCTGAAGCATTTTATTCTAAGTGTCACATGACTCATACAAGTGTCATATTACTGGGACAGGAGATTAAGAGAATCTTTTCTCTGTATAGGCTGAGGAACAGGATGAACTTTTATGCCATGAAAAAGAAGTGCATTTTTTAGTTTCAGGCCTGATCTGAGGTCTGTAAGGAGTCTAAAATCTATGCAGCTTGAGAAAATCAGCAAATTGGTACCAAGAATCAACTTTTATGTTTGGTTAGGGGAAATTCTTGAAACTTTTATTCGCTGAGAGGAAACTGAGTGTGGGGAACATAAAAAGTTGAATAAACAGTCCTCCTGTAAAACTGGAAAAGTGGTATCTTAGCTGCTGTCAGTTCGCTCAGTAAACTGTCCCAATGTGCATTGGGAGATTTCCTTTGTTAAGAAACTCAAAACTCAGAATCTCTTGCTCCAACATCATTTTACAAGCAATTTCTAAAAGTCTGGTGCATTTGCCCTTCGTCATTGGCCCTTTGTAGGTTAACATCATAAAACTGGAGAAGCTGAATGATGGTAGGTGTGCTGAAATCATAACAATGCCATGCAACAGTGTCTGGCCTGAGTCTCTAGGGTCCCAGCTTGGAAGACTTTTACCTGATATGTTTTGGACATCCACATGTTTGGGATACATTTGGAAGCTGGAGGCTGAGTAAGTGAGAGTTAGGGGCAAAGGTTGGTAATGACAAGAAGACACACAACTCTGGATATTAATACGTTGCTATGAGAAGTTTCTGAAAAAGAAAGGCTGTTTACCTAATCTTTGGACATTTGAGAGCCTGAAAGACCAGGATTTAGGTCTGGAGGTAAGGGAATGTGTAGCATCTTGCTGTTTAGGAAGAAACTGAGAAGAGAGTGGCATTTTAAGATGAGAAGGAGAATGAGAGTTTACTGTTTTTTAAAATTCTCTTTAAAAAAGAATGTGGAGCTGATACTGAAAACTTAGAAAATGAGTGTTTTAAACATATGAAAGGAAGGAAAGAAAAGAGCCATATTGATGCACATAAAAATGAAAAAGGTGAAATCATAACAGATGCCACCAAAATCCAGAACATCACCAGTAACTACTGTGAAATATTGTACTCCAATAAATTATAAAGTTTCAGACACATACAAACTACCAAAACTAAACCAAGAAGACATAAAATCTCTGAATAATGCAATAGCAGACAATGAAATTCAGGCAGTAATAATAATAAAAAAAACCTATACCAACTAAGAAAAGTCCAGGACCAGATGGATTCACTGCTAAATTCTATGAGAACTTCAAAGAGGAAAGAATGCCAATATTCCTCAAACTCATTAATGAACTTGAAAAGGAAGGAGTACTTCCAAACTAATCCTTCGAATCTAGCAGTATCCTAAATTCAAAACTGGACAAGGACCCTACTAAAAAAGAAAACTACAGGTTAGTCTCTTTAATGAACATAGACCCCAATATTCTCCAAAAAAAAGATACTGGCAAACAATGCAACAAATCATTAGAAAGATTACACATCTTGACCAAACAGGCTTCATCTCAGGGATGCAAGGATAGTTCAATATATACAAGTAAATATTCTAAATACATCATAAACTGAAGCAATGACATGATAATCTCAATAGATGCAGAAAGTTTTTGTCAAGATCTAACATCCATTCATGATTTAAAAACCCTTCATAAAACAGGTATAGAAAGACTATCTTAATATAATAAAACCCATTTATCACAAACCAACTGCAAACATTATATTAATTGTGGAGAAAAACTCAATGCTTTCCCTTTCAAATCAGGAATAAGACAAGGTATACACTATCACCAATTCTAAGTATAGCACTTTAAACATTAGCCAGAGCAATCAGGCAAGAAAAAAAAAAAAATAAAAGGAATATATATAGGAAAGAAAAGTCATTATTTGTAGATAACATAATTCTTTACATAGAAGATCCAAAAATTCCACCAAAAGACTCCTATAATTAATAATCAAATTCAGCAATGTAAAAGGATACATGATAAACACACAAAAACAGTATTCCTGTAAACTGATAATGAACCTACCAAGAAAAAAATTAGGAAAACAATATCATTTACAATAGCATCCAGAAAAATTAAATACTTAGGAATTAACCTAAACAAGGAAATAAAAGACTTCTACAGTGATAACTACGGTTCTATTCTTGGTTTGTTGTTGTTGTTATTTTTGAGACAGGGTCTCACTATGCACTTTTGGCTGACCTTGAACTTACTTTGTAGCCCAGGCTGGACTTGAACTTGCAGCAATCCTCCTGCCTTCGCCTCCCAAGTGCTGGGATTACAGATGTGTGCCACCACGTCTGGCATACAGTAGTATCCTGAAAAAGGAGATCAGAAAATGGAAAGACAGCCCTTGTTCCTGGATAGGTAGAAATAATATTGTCAAAATGGCCATAATCCCAAAACTGATATACAGACTTAATGCAACCCCAGTCAAAGTACCAACAGCATTCCTTACAGAACTAGAGCAAACAGTCCTAAAATACATATTGAACCAAAGAAACCAAGAATAGCAAAAGCAATCCTAGGCAACAAGAGCAAAGCAGAGGGCATTACTTTTCCAGATATTAAGTTATATTGCAAAGCTACTGTGATAAAGACACACACACATGCACACATGCAAACAAAACACCAGCGAGGTAGTGGCACAAAAATGGACATGTGGATCAATGGAACAGAGCAGAGGATATAAAAACAACCCCAGACACATTCAGATATCTGATCTTTGACAAAGGGGCCAGAAATATATACCAGAAGGAAGATAGTCTCTAACAAATGGTGCTGGAAAAACTGGCTTTATATATGCAGAAGATTGAAGCTAGACCCATATCTCTCACAATGTACTAAACTAAAGTCAAAATGGATCGAGAACACGAAATAACTTTAACTCTTTATGTCATAGGTAGGCATAAGCAAATATTTTCTAAATAGAACCCTAATGGCACAAGAAATAACATGAAGAATCAATGAATGGGATTATATTGAATTAAAAAAACTTCTGGACAGCAAAGGAAACAGCTAACAGAGTGGGAAACAACTTACAGAATGGGAAAAAAATTGCAAGCTACTCCTCAGACAGAGAACTAATATCTAGAATATATAAAGATCTCCCCAAGTTAGACCCCTCAAATAAAAACACAACCCAAAAATGGGCAAATGAAAATAATGCATACTTCTCAGAGGGAGAAGTACAACTGGCCAATAAATACATGAAAAAGTGTTCAGCATCTCTGGCCATTAGAGGAATGCAAATTAAAACAACACTGAGATTCCATCTCACTCCAAAAAGAATGACTAACATCAAGAAATCAAATACCAACATATGCTGGTGAGGCTATGTGAAGAATGAATACTTCTACATTATTGGTCATAATCCAAACTAAAACAACCACTACTTTGGACATCAGTATGGAGATTCCTCAAAATACTAAAATCTTTCCCAAAGAGTTAAAGGCATCATATTACAGTGATACATGTATACTCATACTTATTGCAGTACAATTCATAATAGCTAGATCTTGGAAGCAGCCTCAATGTCCATCAATAGATGAGTGAATGTAGAAAATATGGCATTTATACAAAAAGGAGTACGGCTCTGCTATAAGGAAGGATAAACTTGTGTCATTTGTAGGAAAATGGATGCACTTAACACCATCACATTAAGTGAAATAAATTAGACATCAAGCTTAGATATCACATGATTTCTCTTATATGAGAAACCCAGTGTCTAAATAAATTAGGGAGCAAAATAAACAATAGATAACAGGAAACAGGGAGATAGATCTGTGCAAATGGGAAGAGGACTTAGAGATGGAGGAGGGAGGGGAGAGGAGAAGGGGAAAAGGATATAAAAAGAATTAAGATGTGTTATGTGCACGTACAGACTCCCCACAATGAATGTTATCATTATGTACCCCAAACATATACTAATAAAAATTTTAAAAAGAAAATGAGATTTTATTTTTACTTGCAATCTCTAGAAAGTCATTTCCTCTGAGAACGAATCTTGGCTACACACAGATGCAACTTCTTCTTCCTCCTCTACTTCTTTTTCTCATCCTTTTCCTCTTTTCTTTCTGACAGCACTATTATTCCATGACGGATATCCTAGTACTCAAAGTCCAGCATGCTGCGTCACAACAAAATTGGTTTCCTCAAAATGAGTGGGAAGAGAACTTGTAAACTTCCTTGCCACAATCTTTGAACAGAGTGGTGGGACGTAACTGGTTAACTGCCAAAGACCACAGCTTCTTCATTACCAAGTGGAGGAACAGATGGTACTATCTTAATGCCCTGCGAATGA